GAAAAAAAGGAGGGAATAAAGGAGATAGAACAGGAAGGCAAATATGGAAACATAGTCCAAGTAACAGTATACCTACGAAAAGTCTATGAAACCCATCACTCTGCACAATATATGCTAAGAAAACATCACACAAAGGCAAAAGTAATTGACAATAACATCTAAACATATTGTTAAATTTTTAATTCAAAGCTTAATTAATTATTTTTTTTAAAAACAAAGATTTAAAAGTTCTGCAAGAAAATAACAGAGAGGCCTGCTTCAGACTTACCCTTCTCAAAAGAAGGTCAGTAATTGTTAGAACAGCCCAGAGCTTCCATGTACTTTGTAGCATCTACTCCAAGCCAGTAACTGACAATTATGAAGGAAGCAAAGGACGTTATCAAATGCATAGCAATATATCTCCAGAAGAATCCTGAAACACTTTATAGAAATATATATCTACTTACTCTACATGAATTATATAAACATGAATAAATGAATGACTAACTTGTTAGCTGCTAGGTAGATAATTAAATGTTTGCTGTACAATTTTTTTCAGTTTTATATTTGAAAATTTTCATGATGAAATAGTATATAAAACCACTCACTCAATCGCACTAGAGATAGAGCAGTTTGATATTTAAATTGATGGTGTTTATAGTTGCTCACAAACCCAAGAGACCTTTCTCACAGTGTATATAGCATTAAAAACACTCAATGTTATGAGAACAGTTAAATAAATACAAAAATAATAAAAGTATTAAATGCCATTGATATAATTTTTAAATGAACGTGATCAATCTTTTTATTTATTTATTTATCTATTTATTTATTTATTATGTATACAATTTCTGCCACCATATACACCTGCATGCCAGAAGAGGGCACCAGATCTCATAGATGGTTGTGAGCCACCATGTGTTGCTGGGAATTGAACTCAGGACCTCTGGAAGAGCAGCCAGTGCTCTTAACCTCTGAGCCATTTTCTCCAGCCCATGTGATCAATTTTTAACTTAATAAATAAAGCTCCCAGTTGGAGTATCAGTCTCAGAAAAGACCTCTGTGCCGAGATTTTTGGTTCTGTTTCTCTCCTTGTGGAGCTCTTGTTCCCTCCAGGTCTTTCATCTCCTCATTCTTTCATAAGATTCCCTGCACTCTGCCCAAAGTTTGGCTATGAGTCTCAGCATCTGCTTTGATACCCTGCTGAATAGAGTCTTTCAGAGGCCCCCTGTGGTAGGTTCTTGTCCTGTTCCTTGTTTTCTCCCTCTTCTGATGTCCATCTTCTTTGCCTTTCTGAATGAGGATTGATCATCTTACCCAGGATCCTCCCTCTTGCTTAGCTTCTTTAGGTGTAGAGATTTTAGTATGTTTATCCTATGTTATATGTCTAATATCCACTTTTTACGTGAGTATATACCATGTGTGTCTTTCTGCTTCTGGGATACCTCACTCAGGATAATCTTTTCTAGATCCCACCATTTGCCTCCAAATTTCATGATTTCCTTGTTTTTAATTGCTGAGTAATTTTCCATTGTAATTGTAAATGTACCACAATTTCTGTATCCATTTCTCAACTGAGGGGCACTTGGGTTGTTTCCAGCTTTTGGCTATTACAAATAAAGCTGCTACAAACATGGTTGAGCAAATGTCCTTGTTGTATACTTGAGCCTCTTTTGGGTATATGCCTAGGAGTGGTATAGCTGGATCTTGAGGAAGCGCTATTCCTAATTGTCTGAGAAAGTGCCAGATTGATATCCAAAGTGGTTGTACCAGTTTACATTCCCACCAGCAATGGAGGAGGGTTCCCCCTTCTCCACATCCTCTCCAAAATGTGTTGTCACTTGAGTTTTTGATCTTAGCCATTCTGATGGGCATAAGGTGAAATATCAGGGTTGTTTTGATTTGCCTTTCCCTGATGACTAAGGATGTTGAGCATTTCTTTAAGTGTTTGTCTGCCATTTGATATTCCTCATATTCCTCTATTGAGAATTCTCTGTATAGTTCTGTACCCCATTTTTTTTAATTGGAGTACTTGATTTGTTGCCTTTTAACTTCCTGAGTTCTTTATATATTCTGGATATTAGCCCTCTGTCAGATATAAGGTTGGTGAAATCCTTTCCAAGTCTTTAGGCAGTCATTTTGTTCTGACAACAGTGTCCTTTGCTTTACAGAAGCTTTTCAGTTTCATGAAGAACCATCTATTGATTTTTTCATCTTAGAGCCTGTGCTGTTGGTGTTCTGTTCAGGAAGTTGTCTCCTGTGCCAATGAGTTCTAGGCTCTTCCCCACTTTTTCTTCTAACTGATTTAGTGTGTCTGGTTTTATGTTAAGGTCTTTGATCTGCTTGGACTTTAGTTTTGTGCAGGGTGATAAGTATGGATCTACTTACATTTTTTCTACATGTAGACATCCAGTTAGACCAGTGTCATTTGCTGAAGATGCTATCTTTTTTCCATTCTATAGTTTTGGCTTCTGTGTCAAAAATCAAGTATCTTTAAGTGTGTGGGTTTATTTCTGGGTCTTCTATTCAATTCAATTTATCCACCATTCTGTTTCTATGACAGTACCATGCAGTTTTTATTACTATTGCTCTGTAGTACAGCTTGAGATCAAGGATGGAGATTCCTCCAGATGATCTGTTGTTGTACAGGATTGCAAGGACCATGCATGGAGATAACCTAGAACCCCTGCTATCCTCTTTAAATCAGAATATATATATATATATATATATATATATATATATATATATATATATATTAGAATAAATCATAAAATGCATATATATATCAGAAATAATAAATCAGAAAGTGCATGTGCGTATGGTTTTACACACACACACAGACACACACACAAACTCACTCAAGAGTCCTATACTGAATTGCAGAAGAATCAAATTATCTGCAGTTGTCCACATCAACAACTGGTAAATAATTGGCAAGCTGCTCTTCAGGCATTGTTTGTAGTTAATGTAACTGAGCAAAGGAGTAAATGAACAAAAGAATGAGTGACATAGCTTCATTGATTACAAATTCTCCTGCCGCCCTCCATGCTAGGGGATCTCAGCCTTTGTAAACCTGGTCCCTCTTTCAAGACTTGATACCTCTGTGGTTGCTATCTTATATTCCCATAACAACCTCCAGGTTTTGCTAATATAGTTACTGGTATTTAAATGATTCTGATAGAAAGGTACTCTTTCTTTCAGTTCTTTCCTACAGGCTAAGTTCCTTCAGTGTGACAGAGATCATGTGAATTGTTGTGGCCCTGAGGCTGGAGTATTTGCCTGATGAGGATCAGACAATACAGAACAGTTAGACCAAGTCCCTGGTCTCCACCTGCTGGTGACTGGTGTCACAGCAGTGTTAGCATCAGAACAAGCTGATTCAGTCAACAGAGCCTGTTCAGATTACTAGCCAAAGAAGAGCTGTGACATGTATATATTGTGATAATAGAATAGGATACAGTCCACAGACAGAAATACAGACAGGGAATAATCATGTATAAGTTAATGATTCTGCTTACATCAGGTGAGTTCTAAAGTTACTTTTGATGTTTCTGAAGAAGTGGCTAAGTACTTAAGAGCGCTTGCTGTTTTTCTAGAGGACCCCAGGTCAGTTTCCCACACCCAGTTGGGTGCCTCATATCTACCTGTAATTGCAGCCATAGGAGATCTGATGCCCTTTTCAGACCTCGACAGAGACCTGCATGTATGTGCACATAAATACACGATCACATATATACATAAGCAAAATAAAACAAAATAAATCTTAAAAAACACAACAGAAAAAATTACCCTTGGTAATACCATCAATATGTCATAGAAAATTAATGTATTTTCTCTAAAGAAGTTAACATTAATTCACTTAAGACAGTACCAATTACTATGTGCTGCTCAGGACATGTATGTACAAAAGAATTTATGTAAGAACAGGTACATATTATGAAACAGAAATGCATGCTTTTTTCATCTATAAGAGTGTGTGTGCATGTGTGCGTGCGTGTGTGTGTGTGTGTGTGTGTGTGTGTGTGTGTGTGTGTGTAGGCTGGTTTGCCATTCTGTCTGCATGTGTTTAGAATCCATCTTGTTGAAAGCTATTGAAACCATTGGGTTGTTCATAGGTATGACTTTAGTCAAGACAGATGAAAAGCAAAAAGAACAGAATTATGACTAAACAGTTTGTCTTCCTCACTTGAGCCTGTGGGTCGCTTCATTCAGATCATTTGTATGAATAGTTCCTAGTGTGGGAGAAAACTTGCTTGGTCTTTAGCATCCTAGTGAAAGCCTATTTCTTTGCCTCTCCCCTTTTTTCTCCCCCTCCCTTCTTTTCTTTTATTACAATACCTAGCATTAAAACTAGAGCCTCAGCTGGGAGCAGTGTACCACTGAGCTCCATCCCAGTCTAAGATTATTGATTTCACCAACAATAAACCATTATTCTTCTCGAAATTAAGATGCCTTCCTAAGTTGTTGCTAATGTCACTTTTCCTGACAACAGTGACAATAACATCTATAGATCACTGTTTACTTAAAATGAGGGATGTGATTCTCCTAAATTCTTAATTTATTTTTGTTGTTGAAATTTCAGTCATTCACAAAACCACAGATTTATAACTCATTTCAGTATTTACCATCATTTAAAATTCATTTCAATTAAGCTACAATTCACACAAGAGGAGCACTTGTGTGAATTCAGGTGCTTCTAAAAACAAAGTAAGAATAAAGGAAATAAAGACACGAGCTGCACGTGCACCATTGCCCATTTTCTGTGAAGAACCAAATTCTCATAATAGGAGATTCTCACATGAGACATTGAGTGACATTTGATCACTTACCACGGGATGCAGAATCTGTATCATTGGTTGCTCTGGGAACAGTGAGCTCTGCTCACAATAAGCGGCTTCTGCTGCCCCTGACTACTGGGATTCTGACCGTGGCAAAGCAGCTCAGCGCCGGGGCCCTTAGCAGTGGGGTTGAGGCCTTGTGGAGGCTCTAGATGCATACAGTGACCGCTCTCTCCCTTACAGATCCCTCCAGGAACAGATGCTGATGAGACTGTGGGAACTACAGTGCCCACTGATGGGGAAGCAGAGGCAGAAAAGGCAGTCATTCCTGCTGAAGAAGGAGAAAGTCTAGAGGGATCCAAAATAGATGCTGAAGGCACTGAAGTTGCAAGCAGCCAAAGTCCTCAAACAGCAGAGCCTGAATCGGCTGCTACTCAGGTCAGTGTTTCTTGAGGGGCTTCTTTAGTGGGATCTTGTCCACTGGCCTGGGATGTAGCTGTCTGTGTGTGGAATGGATTTCCTATGCCTGTGGCTGAAACTTAGCAAAGGAGAAAGGAAGCTGCACTCATGACAGAGGAAAGGAATGAAGCACAGATGATGAGTGTCTTGGGGTTTCTATGCTGTGAAGAGACACCGTGACCATGGCTGCTCTTGTAAGGGAAAACATTCAGGGGTTTCGTCTATTACTATCGTGGTGGGAATCATGGTGGCATGCAGGCATAGTGCTGGAGAAGTTGCTGAGAGTTCTACATCCGGATCTACAGGCAGCAGGAAGAGACAGTGAGCCACTAGGCTTGGCTTGAGCTTCTGAAACCTCAAAGCCCCCCGCCCCCCCAGTAACACACTTCCTCCAACAAAGCCAAAACATTGCCATTCCCTATGAGTCTATGAGGGGTGGGGCATTTACATTCAGACCACCACAGTGAGAAAACCCGTAGTGGAGAGAGGAAGAAAGAGCGTGGTAAAATGATAGGGCTGTTAGAGTGAGAAATGCTCTGCCTCTTGCTTTCCCTTGCAGTATTCAAAGACAGCACATCCCAGGAGCCACAACTTGGGCAGTTATGAATAGTCATCACATAGTGTGACGCAGCATGAAGCCACCCCCTTCTAATTTCTTTTTTAGGATAGCGTCCTGCCCCCTCAGGACAGACCCTCTCTCTTTCAGCTTCCCACCACTCTGGATTGCTCATTGAAGCCTCCCGTCTTCCAGGAAGTGTGTCTGCTCAAGGACGTGGATAGGATCCCCAATATGGGTTTAGTACTCAGGAGAGACAGTGAGAAGGCCAGGACATGGGCCCATGTTCTGCAAACTTATGGGCTTCACTGTGGGTTAGTGAAATAGAGAAAGTGTGGGTGGCTGGGAGAAGACACTGACCCGTTAGCAAACACACCTGTGGCTCCCCAGGCCGTGACGCTATCCATCCTCTACCCACCAGGAGAAGGTCATCCCTTCTGTTGTCATTGAGCCAGCCTCCAACCATGAAGGGGAAGGAGAACACCACGAGACCACTGTGGGTGCCGAAACGAGGGCGGCCACTGAGGATGTGGCTCCTCAGGGCCCAGCGGGGGAGAAGCAGGACCTGGCTGCAGAGCCCACGCCTCTGGATTCTCAGGCTGCTGCACCTGCGCTGGCAGGGGTTGTGGATTCCTCGCTGTCCGCAGGGGATGCTGCTCAAGAACTGCCTCCTGGCTTTCTCTACAAGGTCTTTGTATTGTCACTTCAGGGTCGTTGTCGTTTCTTTGAGTCCCCTTTACACTGGTTTTCCAGTGTTTCTTTTTTTCTTTTGTTTTATTTTCTTTTGTTTTTGCATTGTGTATTCTTAAATCTGCTTCTCTTTGCCTTAACCTCCCCTGGGAAAACGCCTCCTTCTCCCCCAACCACACCACCACCACCACCACCCCCCCCCCCCCCGCGCCCGCCGCCCAGTCCATGCTTTCGGAAAGCAAGATCTACAGTAATATATTTTATATTTCCAAATAGAATAATTAAAATGCATAGGCACTGCCTCTGGGTAGTGAGTGGGCATAATGCCTTCCAGGTTCCAATAGGAACTGCCAAACAGGCAGGAGACAAAACCATCCAGTTGAAAGGCAGACTGAGGGACAAATAAATTGTCCAAAAAATAAGTATCTAAAGGCACTATGGGCCTTCTGTGGAAAGAAAAAAAGAAACAGCCCTCCATTCCTGGGAAGAAAGTTTTTCAGGCCAAGGACTAAAGCCTCTTTACCAGTCAACAAAATAACAACGGTAATTGCCTAGAAACACCACAGCCCAGTGTTACAGATAAGGTCCCCAAAAGAATCTGATTAGAAGTTGTAAGCATTGTATAATTTGATACTGCATTTCAAAATGCAGCCCTTGTTTTGCTGGGTCGGTTCTTTGCTTCAGAGTACTGAGAGTGAACTCAAAGAGTTTTGCACATGCTGAGCAATCCCTCTGCTTCCTTTGCTACATACCTCTGTACATTTTAATTTTGAGACAGGCTCGTGGTAAGTTGCATAGGCACAGCTTCACCTTGTGGGCCTCTGTTTTAACTTCCTAGACATCTAGGTAATAAGCCACAGACCACCATGCCTGGATACTTGTTTTTTTTTTTAATATATGTATGTATAATTCATGTTCATAAGAATGGGATTGAATATCTCTATCTATTCTCTGGGTCCCTCCTTTAAAAGGAAACTGCCACCTTGCCACTGGAAGTGGGTGCAGGTATAACAAATTTATGAAGAGATTAATGTGGCCCAAAATAATTGAACATGTGGGTTAAAGTTAGGGCTCGAAACCTCTTTGTTTAAGCAGTACCTGTAAACTCCAGGAAACTTGTACCAGGCAAGGCTGGGGCATGAGGGACACTTCCTTAGCTTGCCAAACACTGCAGTGAGACCCAAGGTACACTACTCAGTTATTCTCTGGACCTCTGACCTCATTGCATAAATTAATTTGGGGTAACAGTTATAGCTCTGATCATTTCTAGTCTACACATGAAATACATATTTCACAGGCAAGCTTTTTCATCTTGACTGTGAAGGTGTTTGCAAGGAACCAATATGGGAAAAATAAAACTGGTCAGAGCTAGCCTCAAGCTGAGAGATGGGTATTCAATGTGTCAGTCTTTCTGCTTTTGCCACAATATAAATTTTAATTTTTTTAATTACATTTTTATTTTTAATATTAATTACAGTTTATTCACTTTGTATCCCAGCTGTAGCCACCTCCCTCCTCCCCTCATGATCCTGCCCTCCCCCTCCTTATCTCTTCTTATGTCCCTCTCCAAGTGCACTGATAGGAGAGTCCTCCTCCCCTTCCGTCTGACCCTAGCTTATCAGGTCTCATCAGGACTGGCTGCATTGTTCTCCTCTGTGGCCTGGCAAGGCTGCTCCCGCATCAGGGGGAGGCAGTCAAAGAGCTAGCCACTGTGTTCATGTCAGAGAGAGTCCCTATTCCCCTTACTAGGGTACCCACTTGGATACTGAGCTGCTATGGGCTACATCTGAGCAGGGGTTCTAGGTTATCCCCATGTATGATCCTTGGTTGGAGTATCAGTCTCAGAAAAGACCCCTGGGCCCAGATATTTTGGTTCTGTTGCTATCCTTGTTGAGCTCCTGTCCTCTCCAGGTCTTACTATCTCCCCCTTCTTTCCTAAGATTCCCTGCACTCTGCCCAAAGTTTGTTTATGAGTCTCAGTATACAATGCTTTGATACAATGCTGGGTAGAGTCTTTCAGAGGCCGTCCATGATAGGCTTCTGCCCTGTTTCCTGTTTTCTACTTCTTCCAATGTCTGTCCCATTTGCCTTTCTAAGTGAGGATTGATCATCTTACCCAGGGTCCTCCTTCTAGCTCAGCTTCTTTAGGTGTACAACTTTTTGTAGGTTTATCCTACATTATATGTCTAGTATCCACTTATAAGTGAGTATATACCATGCCTGTCTTTCTCTTTCTGGGATACCTCACTCAGGATGATCTTTTCTAGATCCCACCATTTGCCGGCACATTTCATGATTTCCTTGTTTTTAATTGTTGAGTAGTATTCCACCCATCAGAATGGCTAAGATCAAAAACTCAAGTGACAACACATGCTGGAGAGGATGTAAAAAAAGGGGAATCCTCCTCCATTGCTGGTGGGAATGTAAACTTGTACAACCACTTTGAAAATCAATCTGGTGCTTTCTCAGACAATTAGGAATAGCGCTTCCTCAAGATCCAGCCATACCACTCCTAGGCATATATCCAAAAGATGCTCAAATACACAATAAGGACATTTGCTCAACCATGTTTGTAGCAGCTTTATTTGTAATAGCCAGAACCTGGAAACAACCCAGATGTTCCTCAATGGAGGAATGGATGCAGAAATTTTAATTTTTTAAAAGTGCAAAGAAAAAACAGGCTGTCATGGCATAAAGTGGTAAGATAGAAAAGGGTGAAATTTTATTTTTTAAAACATCCACTTGTTTAATTAAATAGTAATTCTTATATAACATGCAAGTGGTATTTCGCCTAGTTTTATTTTTTCATTATTTTACAAAACGTCTTTTTAGCTTGGCACATTTAGCTCAACTTAAGCAGTCATCAGTGATGATAAAATATCTAGCAAAAATCAACAAGCTAGCTGGGTATGGTGGCACATACCTGTAATCCCAGCACTCAGGAGGCAAGTGAATTGCTGTGAGATCTAGGCCAGCCTGGGCTACAAATCGAGTCCAGGATAGCCAAGGCAACACAGAGAAACCCTGTCTCGATAAACAAAAACAAACAAACAAAAATGAACAAGCTAAAGTTTCAGCTATTGCATAGTGCATTGAATTAATAAATATAGATATGAATGGCTTCATGTAAGTCAACAAGAAGCAAGGGTATTGAGTAAATAGAAAGTGGTATTCCCAAAAGGGTTTTGAGGCTTTCTTCTCCCCCTGGGGTTTGTATTAGCCTGTTTTATATTAGAATGCTGGATTCTAGGTCTTTGGAAAGATAGGTAGTTTTTTAGCTCACAATGGGAAGTCCAAAGAACTGCACTGGCAGTGGTTCTGTTCTGGGCCCATGGCAGATGCTATCATGCTAAAGGAATGGTCACATGATGACACAGGAAGCTGGAGCACGGAAAACATCTCACTCTCCATACTCTTTTGGCAGAATAACCACGGTCCTGTGAGAAACCTGCTAATTCCTTGAGGGCAGGGGCCTCCTACTACATTCCTTGTCCTATTGTTTTCCGTGCCTCTCACCACACATTTGGGGAACCCAGCCTTCCTGTGCAGAAGGCCACATTCCATCCAGAGCAGAACTGTAATATGTATTTTCATCCTTTATTTACTTGGAGAAAGCTTCTAGCAGTTTCTACATAATCTTATTAGGAAAGACAATGCTATCCATCCCTCTACCCTCCCTTCCTCTTTCCCTTCCTCCCTTTTTTCCTTCTTTCCTTCTCTTTTCTTCTTTCTGAGGCAGGGGCTCACTGTGTAGCCCACAGCCCTTGCTTGTCTAGAACTCACTAGTTAGCCCAAGCTGGCTTTGAAGTCATGGCTGGCATCCTCCCTTAGACTCCTGGGTGCTGGCGTTACAGGCAGAGCCACCACGCGCAGCTTCTTTCTAAGACTAATCAATCCCTTTTAAATGTGTTGCAGGTGGAAACCCTGCATGATTTCGAGGCGGCAAATTCCGATGAGCTTACCCTGCAGAGGGGTGACGTGGTGCTCGTGGTCCCCTCAGACTCAGAAGCTGACCAGGTAATGCATAAGGCTGGAAGGTGTGTCCGGCCACATTTTTTTTTTGTTTGTTTTTTGTTTTTTGTTTTTTTTTTTTTTTTTTAGGGTCAGTTGAACAAGTGACTTCCTGAAGCATTTCTGTTTTCTAAGATGCTGCAAGCCAACTCTGAAGAGGCCCTCCGGGCTTGCGCCCTGAGCAGTCCATCAGCTGGGTTTTCAGAGTACCCATTCGAATGCTGCTGACTGTTTGTTTCTGTACAATTGGATGAGATGACCTTTTTTAGTCCCAACATTTCTTGTTAGAGATGCTGCATTTTACGAAATCCTGACACTGGGCATGAACTAAACATCCCTTTCAGAAGTGGCTGGTTCTAGTGGTATGGTTACCCATGGAAAGAACCTGGGAAAACATAGGGAGGTTAAAATGTTTCACATCTCGGTGGAGTCACACCCATGTAGCCTTTGTTCAATCCTATTGAACCTACAGCCAAGGATTCTGCCATTATAGAGCACAGCACTTAAGTTATACCTCAATTGGGAAATGTATCTCTCAGCAGAATGATTGGATAATAAGGAGCTAGGAACTATAAGACTGTTCCTATTAGATATTTGGGAATTCCTGAAATGGAATGCCAAGCATGTATAAACAAGCCTATGAACATGTATTTTACAGAGAAGAGCTGTAACTCCCGTAGTAATTTCAAAGAAATGTATTTATAGGTCTTCTCCCTAAAAATAAAGTTTAAAACCACGGCTTTTAAAGTTAACATTTATATGCCAACATATCATTCTTTTGATTTAGCAGTATAAATCAACTGATGTCTAAACACTCAGATTCTATACTTCTGTAAGAGTTAGAAATTACTTTAAAAAATGATATGATTTAAAGCTCCAAATATTTTAAAAATTAAAAACCTATTTCTAAATGATAAATTTATCAAATAAATAATATTATAAGTAAAAAAATATGTCATGCTTGGTCTGGAGAGATGGCTCAACAATTAAAGGTGCTCTTCCATAGAACTCATATTTCATTCCTAGGCATGTATGGTGTCTCACAACATTCTGTATCTTCAGTCTCAGGGAATCTAGCACTCTCTTCTGGCCTACAGGCATTGTACACATAGGATGCATAGGCACACAGGCAGAACAGCCATACACATAACAATAAATAAATAAAATTATGTATACTTACATATTTAAATATAGTGAAAAAGAAGGAAATGATAAAAAAATAAATTTACAAATGAATGCCAGAAATGATGGTTCATTTCTGTATCCTAGCACTCAGCAGGCAACTACTGATAGGGAGGCCTACCAGTTAGAGACTATTCTGAACTACATAATAAAATCAAATTTCAACACACACACTTTGATATACATACAGACACATAGGCACAGACACACACACTCAAAAACAATAACCCAGGAAACAAAAAAATGTACCAAAAAACCCCCAAACCTTACAATTAACAATAGTTATTAAACCCTAAATTAATTCTTTAAAAGGATTAATGCAATTATTATTTAATTATTTAGCTATTTGTGAACAAGAGTTGGTAAAGCAGAGATTAGCAATATAGGCAGAAGCAGAAACATCCCTCTGCTTTGTAAAGCATTAAAATTCCATTTAATTAGTTTTCTCGTTGCTGTGGTTGAATACTTGATGAGAAGCAATTGAAGCAAGGAGGGCTTTTTGGGCTCATAGTTTGAGAGAATGTAGTCCATCTTTGGGAATTGCAGTTCATCATAGTTGGCTGGGAAGGTCTGGCAGCAGCTGGTTCCATGGCAGTAGGAATGTGCATCCTGGCCTCCTCACACCTGGGCAGATAAGGAGTAAAGAAAGGAGCATGCCAGAACTTAGCTGGGCTTCTCAGATTTCCTTTTTGTTTAGTTGAGGTCACAACCCACAGGACAGTACTGTGTATATTTGGGATAGTTTCTCTCCTCTCAGTTAACCCTCACTCGTAAAGCACTCATAGAAAAGTCCTAGGGCACACCCATGAAATGCTCTGGTTATTTATCAACCTAATCAAGTTGACAATATCCCTTGTCAACTTGATAACCAAAACACATGATTGCAAAAGATGTTTCACCCTTGACCTCTTTACCTCACAATGCAAATACATTTAGTCCATCACCAACATCCCCCAGGGTCTTAACAATTCTAACATTGCTCAAAAATCTAAGTTTGGAGCCTCAACTGAGACTTCAGAGAGAGAGAGAGTGAGAGAGAGAGAGAGAGAGAGAGAGAGAGACAGAGAGAAAGAAAGAAAATCCTGTTGCATACTTCCAGTATACAATGTCACAGTGTAAACATCCTCAGAAAGAAGGAATTGGAGAAGAGCAAAGAAATACTGGACTGAAGCCAGGCAGAATACCAGCGGACTCAGCATCCGATCCTGCAACCCCAGCTCAGCTTGTGTAGCATCTCAGCTTGCAGAGTTATCCTCTGTGTTCCAGCAGGCTTCACTGTCCCCACCTCCTCCAGGACTGCTTCTTTTAGCACTATGTCCTTTCTCTTGGGTAGGCTTCACTAACTGTGTCAAGCTTTCCTTGGCAGACATCCTTTGCCTTTCCAGGGATATTGCAATTTGGTTTTCACCTTCACAGCTTTGCACATTTCCCTCTTAGATCCCTATGCAGAAAATCTGACTGCTACACATTGCTAGACCTTGGCTTCTCCTATAACATTTGTATGTGGCATGTTTGAAAAAAAAAATGGGTACCCCATGGAAAAAGCAAAACTATACTGTCAGTTCAAGGTGTAGCCTGGCTTCCTTGGGCCACAGTCAGAGTAGCTTCTTTGTGATTTTAAGGCTGAGCCTAGCAAACCACTTTACTAAGTGGCCCGTACTCTGTCAGGATGCCTGCGATGCTGTCTTCTTCCAATCATTATATTTCAAATGAAGAAATTCAAATAACTTTGCTTGTTTGCAAGCTGGAGTCTTTGGTGACTGGAGTCTACTGATCCCAGTAGCTCTCCTACTTTCTCAGTACAAAGTGGCAGGTCTTATATTAACTGATAAGGGCTGCTTTGCCCTTAGCAGTTATGTTTATAACCAAGCTCTTTGCCTTAAAGTACACATTTTCTACATCTTTCTGCCTTTTTTTTTTTTACACTATAAAACTAAACCAATGCACTAACCTTGGGCTATTAACATACCCCAGTCTGGATATTACGCTGTCTTGCAATGCCATCTGCCAAACAACTTAGCCCACTGATTTATACTTTTTAGTTCAATGTCACTCATACTTTCAGGGCACGGGCAAACACAGCCTGGTTCCTTGGCAGAATAAAACACGAGTGGCCCATGAGAGTCCTGGTTCCTCACTGCAGCCTCATGGCTCAGTCACTGTTCACCTCCTGCGCTCTCTCAAGAATCTAATTTCCAGAATCACATCAGACTCTCCTGTCAGCCTGTGTGTACAGCATCCAAGGTCTGTTCTCGCCCACAGTTCCAAATGCCTACAAACCACACGGGCAGGGAGACAGGCAAAAGCCCATTCCACAGCACCAATCTCCGTATTAGTTACCACCCTCATTTCCATGACCCAGCTTCAGGAAGAAAAAGCTTCTTTGGCGTCATGGTGTGAGGAGATGCAGCCCACTGTGGCAGAGAAGGCATAGTAGCCGGTAGCTCCATCGTGATGGGGTTATGGGGATGGGCTTTCCCACCTCCATATCTCGTAAGAACCAACGGTGTGCCATATTATACCCTAGGCATAAATCTCATCAAGTTGACAATTGAGATTATCCATCACACCAATTATATAAATTAATTTATTTTTCACTAACTGTAATATAACTTTTTAAAAAAAGACAAAAGAGCTAGTCTTTTATAGTTACCAGTATAATGTACACACACACACAGATATGTATGAGTATCCTCATTTCTTTCTGATTAATTTTTCTTCCTTTAGCAGTTCCTTGAATGCTGATCTGCTAACAGCTAATCTTGTGAACCTGTCTACATTTGTATTCATGTCAAAAGATTTTTCACCAGGGAAAGGCTGACTTTTTTTTTCCTCTCAGCTCTTCAAGATGTTGTGTTCTGGTCCCCATTGTTTATAATTAGAACTCATAAACAATATAACTGATAAATTTGATGGAAATAAGCTAGAGTGGTGTGTGTGTGTGTGTGTGTGTGTGTGTGTGTGTGTGTGTGTGTTCATACTTTGGATTCATTTTGCTTCTTTGACATATAGCATTTTAGTTCCCATTATGTGGATAACTATTAGATATTTTTTTTTAATTTTTCACTACCTCCTTTTTCTTCTCTGTTTCTGATTTCTAATCATATTATGTTCAGGGCTAATGCCTAACAGCCTGTTCTTTTTTAATTGACAAATATCACACTATTGTAATTTATAAGAATCTGTTTCACTGCTCTGTGTTTGTTACATTTATGCAGTAGCTAGCCCAATGCCAGCATCACAGTACACAGTTCCATCATCTCTTTCTGGTCCTTTTATGTGGTTTCCATTTCCTTGTTATGATTTGCCACGTATTGTCTCATAATCACTGCCTTTCAACTCAGATTCTTGAAAAAAAATTATAATAATTGATGTTTAACTGATAATTCAAAATCTGTATGGCATGAGGGCAAACTTCTACCCATTGTCTGATTTTGTCCTTGGGTCTGGTAATGTTTTTACTAACACTGGACTAGTGTACAGCACACTGCACAGAGCTGGATTCTGTTTTCTATATCTGAAGGGTATTTAGTTTTGTTCCAGCAGGCACTTAAATTACTAACTCATCACCCTAAATTTGTGGAAGACTATTTTACATTTTCTTGGAATGTTCACCTATAGACCTTTCATAAATTCTTAGCCCTAGGACAGTATTTCTACCTCTAAATCATAAGATATTGTTAGGGGAGTTGTCTATAAAAAGTCCGTGGTGTAGTTTTTTTTGTTGTTGTTGTTTGTTTGTTTGTTTTGTTTTGTTTTGTTTTTTCCCATCAGTTCTCCTAATTTGATGTGCATTATTTTTTTAAGATTTCTTTATTTTTTTATTTCATTTTAAACATTCTGTATGCTTATGTAGCTGCATGTCGCATGAGGCAGGAGCCTAGGCAGGCTGGGTATCGAATGTCCTGGCCTGGCTATGGGTGGTGGTGAGCTGTCTGAGGTGGCTCCTAAGAACCAAACTCAGGTGCTTGAAACTGAACTCTGGAGCTTGCAAAAGTATACACTCCTATCCACTGAGCCCTACTCCAGCCCCACTCAGGATATAAACTCCAAGCTCATCCTCTACTGGCAGGGCTAGGACTCTCTTTGCAGATATCAGCCATTTTGCTATTGTTTCTCGCCCTAGTTCATAAAATCTCATGTATAGACGCAGCCTAGGATTTAAGAAACGTGTCTCTGGGTACTTGAGGACTTTCCTCCTTCCAGAACTTCTCCGCCCGTTAGTATAGGCTGCTCTTGTGGCCTCAGACTCTTAATCCTGCAGCATACAGAATGGAGACAGTCTTTGGAAGAAGCTGAAATAATCTGTTCTCATCCATATTCCCTACACTCAGAGGTCAAATATTTCTATTCTCTGCTTGTCTTGCCAGTCTTGGTGCCCTTAGCTGGCTCTGCATATGATTTGTGCCCACTTCACTACATATAAACTTATTACATTTTATAACCATATTTAAAACAGTTGTCTATGTATAGGTTCATTTACCACACACATATGCAGCTGTCTGAGCACTTCTCTGTGCAAAAGCGTTTATGCAACAGGAGCTGTTCCACCATAATCAAAACTGAAAATTCTTCTTTACCACATATTTCAGGCAGTTAAAATTTTAATTCCCCTCAGCTAAAGATTTACATTGCCTAATATCCTTTGCTTTACAGTTAAAGTTGTGTTTCAGAGTAATGTGTTAGAATGCATCTTCATTATGGGTTTGTAGCTGTCGCTGCTTATCTTTTTGCTCTCTGTTGAAACAATTTAAAAATGTCTAGCTCTATTTGGCCTCATTAGATTTTGACTCACTGTAAATAAAACCCAATAGACATGTGCCTCGGGAGGGGAACCGAGCTTTCATGTGCATACTAGAGGCTTGGAAAATATTTACTTATCATCTCTTACTTTAGGTCTAACTTTGTCCTTCATGTATGTGACATCATAATTTGAAGGAGAGCAACTTTCCTCATCAGGCAGAGTATTATCAGTCAGTTTATTGGGGCATTTTTTCCCCTCTCTTATTTTTGTAAGGTGATTTTTTTCCCTCTCTTCAAAAATTGCCTGTCTGAGTGCTTATATTTCTTGTCTTTATAGAAACATCAATTTACAGTCTTAGATGATATCGAAGGGAATATATCCAGCACTTTATTTAATTTTGGTGGACCTCTTTTTATCAGATGTACTTGAGCTCCATGGAGGATTGGTTCAGATTAAATCTGGCCATCCCTCTTTGTAAGTGGCTCTCTTTCCTGCTTTGGTTAACATAATAAAGATAATAATTTCCCACTGCTGTCCATGTGGTATGTATCCTTCCATGTTCCTTTTTCTCTGGAGGCCAAGGGCAGAGAACAGCCTGCCATTCTCACTTGCTGAAGTTGTCTCCCTGTAGGAGGCCATCCAAGCTTAAGTTCTCTAACCTTTCTATGGCTAAATGTCTTTATTTGCATGATGGTACCTATGAGAGAAACAAAACTCATTTAGAAAGAACCTGTCTCCAGCAAGAATACCAGAGCATCAGATTTCTCTGTGACTCACATAAACGTGAAACAAGAGGCGGCAGCGGCAGTAATATCAGGCAGCACGCACTTGTCCATTATTCAGTAGTGATCCCTGTATAACTTGCTTTCTTGGGCTATATGGCGTGAACTGTGGGGCAGTTCTTTCCTGTACGAAAGTGGCCCAGGACGCACACAAGACATGTGGTGGCCATGTCAGTGTTATATCCTAATGTAACAGCTTTAAAATGTTTGACCCTACTTGGCACCAAGGATTGTTTCCTCAATCCTTGTTCTACTGTGAATCACAAAGACAATTGGATGTATTCATCAAATTCCACATTTTCATGTGAAATCCCATTTCCTTAACAACTTACAACTCAGTTAATGCTAACTAAATATGCCCTCCACACAATTAGAATGTTAAAATTGACCTTCAGTTAATTATGAACAATAACACACATACCTGAAATTATCTATCTCTTCTTTTTTTTTTTTTTCAACTACCAAATTTTTACAGTGTTTTATAGCAGTGTGGCATCTGAAGGCCACAGCACTAGCTGTGAGTTCTCGGTGCTGTGGCCATGGCCAGCACTTTGCCGGACTCTGAAACACTGATCTTGTCTTGCAGGACGCAGGCTGGTTGGTGGGAGTGAAGGAGTCAGACTGGCTTCAGCACAGAGACCTGGCGGCTTACAAAGGCCTCTTCCCAGAGAACTTCACCCGACGCCTGGAGTAGGGCTGCAGATGGTGCAAAAAAAAAAAAAAAAAAAAAGAGTCATGTGACTGGGTTTTTAAACCTTCATGGAATGCGGAAGAGTTCACTTTTGCTACTACACTCTTGACAGACTGGTGCCAGATGACACTTGGGAAGACGGATCAATAGAAAATGTATGCAAAAACTGTAAGAAGAAGGGGAAATAGCAAATTAAGGGGGGGAAAAAACACCTTATTTTGTTCCCTGTGTTCAATAGAGGTTGATTTGTGCTTTGTCTAACTGTGAACACTGGTACTCGATCCCCCTCCCACCAAGTCTAAAGTAGCTTTCTCCAGACGGGACATTGACTTCTTTGCATCAAGTGTGTGGTGTCCAGTGGCTGCCCTGCAGATGTGACGAGTTACCTTGTAGTAAGACCATCATCTTACTTCCTTGCCCGGTTGTGAGCACGTGCTCTCTTTCCCTTCCAAGTTTACCGCGTTCAAAACTAAACAGCTGCAAACATTCTTAACAGTCTTCTCCCATCACCTCTATATACATACGTACGGACGCACAGTCGCCCAAGCTAGTTCCCATTGCCTGCTGGACCTATGTGTATGCAGACGGCTACATATGCATAGCTGATCCCTTCCCTTTCCACTGTAGCTCTTCGCCTCTTAGTGTCATCGATACACGCATTGCTCTTATTCCGTCTGGCATTCCAGCTGCAGTTTTGCCTCGGTGCAAAACCACTCATCCCATTGCCAAAACAGCTGACAGTGTCTGTGTGCGTTGTGTGCCGTTTTCAGGATGATGTAACAGATAGCACGTCCGTGCTGCTGCCCCTTTGGAGAGAGCAGGGCCTGGTTGTGTAGCTGCCCAGCTGCTGCGTCCAGATAAATACAAGATCCGGACCAGCAGCTATGCAGTCATCACTTCTGCCTTTCTGTGACTGGCTGGCCGAGGGAGGGGGCGAAAGGACCTATTTATGCAGCTCACCTTCACAGATCATTCTGAAATGAACGAGGCGATGTATGCCGTGCCACGAACCATCTGTAATAGTTGTGTTCTCAGTGCCGTGTCATTCCAAATAAACCTTTGGTAATCTCCGAGTCACACTGATTCCTGTTCCTGAGTGTTTTGTTTTGTTTTTGTTTTTATCTTTTTGAAATCTTGTTCCAGTGGGACATGCCACTTGAAAAGCAGTTCATTTTGGAGTTGTTATTTGTGCAGATATGTGCTTGTTTCACCTCTGGGTTGTGTGCTCCGTGGCCCAGCCTCACTTCCCCATCCCTCCATCCCAGTCATTGCTGGTCACTGGTGCTCCCTGGGAACCAGCAATTACTAGAGCACAAATAACAGCTGTGGGGAGACCCCTTTCTCTTGCTGGCTGTGGACACTCAGTCTGTGATTCACTCGCCACCATATGACGCATAATCAGCATCACAACGGCTTCATTTTTGCTCACTTTTCTTTCTGGCATTTTTATGTTTGTAAGTACATAAAGAATTAGATCTGATGGCATAGAAAAGTCAGTCCACGGAGCCATGTAGCTGGGAGAGAACACATCATACAAGCATGTTTCATCTTAAGGAATTTCTGCTAATATCGTTATGTATACAGTGTGTGCTGATCAAGAATTCGTGTGAATGTGGTTTGCATTTGTGTTTCAAACTCTCCCGATGGATTATTGAGCTTTATGTTTTTTTAAGTGTTAGAAGGGAAATTTCTATTATTGATCCACTGTTTTCCCACAGGCTGGTTTACAGGGAGGCTTAGTCATTTTGAATGCTAGTCTACTGAAAAAATAAAATAAAATAAAATAAAATGTCACTGTCTAGCGGCTTGCCAGAAAATTAAGCAGGCAAAGCGCAGTGAGGTGAACCTTAAAGGAAATTACTGCTGACATGAGAGCACATGGGCTGCTGAAAAGTGACTGAACAAGTCAGGGGGCTGAATTCTTTCTTGGCTTTGGTTTTGTTGCTGTTTGCAGTGTTTGGTATTAAACTCTGACCCTTGCAAATGCTAAGCAATACATTTGCATCACCAGTACCCCAAATGGTTTAACTAATAAGATATATCTAAACCATGCAAAGCTGAGTGCCACATCTCCAGGAGCAGTTACTCTGAAATTCCACCGGGAACCTTCCCACTGTGACTAACATATAACACAGCAGAGAGGATGTGGTTCAGATAAATTTTGCCCTGAACTTCCTAGATGAATGTAGCTAGGTGAACCTACCAAGTCCATCCAAGACAACCTGCTTTTAATCACGTAATCCTATTTTTAAGATACGTTTTGTCTTTGAAATAATAAACAGATTGTATCAAGAACTGGAAAGATCCAAGAATTCCCAGCATCCTGAAAAGGAATGAGGGGGAGGCAGAGCTCTAGTCCCATGCTATGGAAACTGCTCTTACATGCAGTGGTCATTCTTTTTGTTGTTGTTGTTGTTGGGCTTTCTGAGGGGTTTTTCAGGAACTTCCATGGTTACTGCTGTGGCGAACCCGTCCTGTTCACATCATTTGATCACATATCTCTCAGTTCGTACCTATATTTTATCCCACATGGCCTGAATCCAGAACACTCTGTCTGAGCCACTTGGTCTTTCACTTCCTCTGTCAAAACCAGTGGCATGCAGATTTTCACATCTTTTAAGAATCATTAGAGAAAGCCTGTGGTTCTCATGAAGCAGACACCGACCTGGCCCCCTGCTAGAATCTCACTCCATCAAGGCCTGTGGTGGGCATAACTACAACTTTCTTTGCCATTTTCAAAATTCAGTGACTCAGGGTACACTGTTCCCTAGAACAGGAAAAGCTCCATACGCTATTCTGCTGTACCACTGCAAACAAGATTCTTTCTGTCAAAGCTAGGGAAGCTTTTGAGTCAACAAGAAAATCATGATATGGCATCTGTTGGGTAGAGTGTGAAGACTCATTTTAATGCTCTTTCAAAGCATATAGAAGCCTTGGATTGTGTTGTTAGAAAATCCCATAGTGATTTCACACCCCATTTAGATGGCCTGTTTAAAAAAGAAAGAAAGCACCTTGGGGAAACTCCAGACACACCAGAAATGAAGAATTTGATGATGACCGACGGCCAGTGCTTTATTCCACACAAATTGCAGGACTGAGCACCTTGAAGCTGTAGACATATAGACACCAGTCAACAGAGTGACATTCTAGGACTCTACTAGTCTTTTCTGAAAAGCTCAACTTAAAACCTGCCTTCTGGTTTTTACTTATTGATGAGAGAAAATCCTTATACATCCTATGCAGCAGGCCTTGGAGCAGAGAACATCACACTCTTCCTCATGTGGTAGTAGCTAGTGTCTTCCGACAAGGTTACCTCCTTTTGAGCCTCAAGTAAGTAGGTATTTAGTAGCTTCATTGAGGAGACAATGACAGTCTCTTTGCAAAGTTAGACAACTGAGAGCTGTGTGGTTTTGTTCAGTCTGGAGAAGCTCTTTTTTCGTGACTCAGCCTTTATTTGAAGTTGTTTGTTTGTTTTCTAAACCTACAACATTAGGCTGAGATCAATGTGAACAGGACCAACTCTCTGTATCCTATCACACAGCAATGGGCTGAGCAAGTTCAAAGGCACCAAACATTCAAATGCATGAAAAAAACTGAGTAGTCTCCCCAAACATTTTGTGACTCGTTAGTAATACTTTTCTCAAGATTGCTTAATGACTTTTACAGTTTAAAGGATAATTGTGACACAACTCTTAAATCTATGCAAACTAAGAGAAAGACCTAAAACTTTTTCAAAGGAAACTTAAACTTTGTATTAGTTTCCTAAAATCCAAATCATCCCCAGACCCTTACGATCTCAGGTCAAACACTCAGGTTGTCTGATTCCTGACAGTCAAGCGGAGTTGCAAGCTTATTTTTGCCTCCCTGCAGCACCTAGAGATGTGTCTGCATTTAGCTCTTGAGAAATGCATCCTTGTACAGCACAAGACTGTACATTCAGTCCCCTGTGAGAACATCTTATCCGTAAGCACTTCGCCACAGGAATGATACTCTTGTGCCCTCTCCCCAACCAATCAATGTTATAGAACTTTCACATCACCACCTCTCCACCATTAGTGACCACCAAGTGATTTCTGTGGTACACAGTGACACCATCAAACATTTCAGTATAAAAATTCCCCTTGTCCTAACCCTCTGATTTTTTTCTTTCTTGCTCTCTGTGTTTGTTTTCATTCTTTCGGAGGGTGCTGGGAGTGGGGTGCTAAATAGGGAGAGAGCAATATCCTTCAGTTTGTATTGCTGCTGTCTGAGGACTGTTCCCTTGAGGGGGCCCTGCGGTTGCTAACGAGTCCACATATCTGCGCGTTCATTAAACAGTCGTCAAGCTCCTTCTCAGTGTGAATTGCTATGACTTTTACGGAGTTGTTCTACAAGACTTCCACCTTGCACCCAGCGCGTGGCTGAATCCTAGACCAGCTGTATTTGGAGTTTTCTCTGTGCTTCATTTTCTCGAGAACACACACCCACTGTTGTCTCTACCCTCCAAAATGTCAAGTCATCCTGCATTTTCTTTCTATTTCTCAGTCTTTCGGGCATGTCCCCAGGGCCAGAGGTGATTTTTCACTTCCTGCCTTCTCATTCTGTCCCCGCTCCTCAATTTTATATGTATAACACTAATACCAGCATATTAACACCGCCTCCTTACCATTGCTTCTCATACCCATGTGACACCGATGAGTATCTTTTGAATACTGAAGATACTCAGTATCTTCAGTGATGAGACACTTCATGAGACACTGACTCATCGTGTCACTGATTGGCCCTCAAAGACCCCCTTCTTCACCACCATTTTCCTTCTGCTTCCCTCACATGAGTCTTCTCGCTGAGCGACTCTGTACACGCTATACCAGCACATGCGAGATCATGGCTCACCCTGTTGCAACCTCCCCTAGAATCCTCCCTTTTCTCTTTGCCTGCACTCCTCCCCTGCCACCCCAGAGCAAGGTGTATGAAGGCGTATGTCTCGCTCTGAAGTAAAAGGCTCTCCACCTGTTCCGTCCTGTGCTCACACACTCAGACTGCTTTCCGACTGGAGAGTGCGCACGAGTGCCTCCAGCCTTTCGTTGTCCACACTAACAGACACACTATCTACCCCAACTTCATATTCCCATCCACCCTGGTGTTCATATGTATGTGTGCTAAGTGAGTAAGCAAGAGGCAGAGCGCCAATCTGTTTGTTCAGAAGCGCAGACACATGCCGAGAACAGCATTCCGGGGTATCTGAAATTAAATATGAAAAAATAAGAGGTAATTCTGTCACACTGGAGAATTTTGTTTCAAGTAAAACTCCAAAGCATAGCAAGTGTGTAGCCAAAAATCAATGAAAAGGTTTGACTAAAAAGCTTCAGTTAATGAAGTAAAACAGATGGCACAGCAGCTTGATTTGTTACATCTGAAACTCACAGAGGATTAGCAAATAAACACACAAAATGCTCATCCAAGAAGAAACTCCAGAAATTGTTCTTGCAATAACTAATTTCTATAGCTTCTTGCTTAGGTTTGTTTGTGTATATATTTTTGACTAATTGACATGAATAATGAATATAAGGTTTGGTTTTGCCGGTCTCTCTCAAAGTTCTGTCTGGAAATCTTTACCAAATCATGATGTAATCATTAATCTTACTCGTCACAAACATGAAAATCTGAGCAGGGCCACAGAGGCAGTAAACAGGAGTACCAAGCTAGGTGTCACCTCAGAGGACTGCCTCCTCTAACCCTCCGTGATGGCACTTCCTTTTTGCTATAGGTAAAGGATATAAATAGCCAAGATTCAAACGGCGACATGACAGTCCACATGGCACTGTCTTAATAATCATATCAGCATCTGGAAACTGGTGAGATGCTGCTTAATGCATACATGCGTGTGTGTGTGCGCGTGCACGCGCGCGTGTATGTGTGTGTGTGTGTGTGTGTGTGTTCTCTCTGACCAATAACCCTAAGACTGACTTCCCAGGAAGTGCTGACTTTCTGTGAGAAGGCCCATGAAGGTTACATTGCACCATGGCAAGTGACAGAAAAGACCCCAACCCTGGGAAGCTGCATGAATCACTGGAGACAGCTGTGGAGCAAGGGAAACAGATCAG